CCTACAAATAAATCCTCAACTTCTAACTTTCCACCTTCTGTTAACAACACCACCACAACCACCAACCACAACCACACCTAGCTACTACTATGGCTCCTAAGCTTGAGAACAACATGAGAATGCATTGCTAATGCATTAGTAATATACTAACAATTGAAATAGGAGGCCTACAAGGTCTACCAAAAGCTCCCTAATTGCCCTCTAGGCATTCCTCTGGAACTGATGTAAGTTCACCCCTAGCCTACCCCTCTCAAAACTCACTTTCAATTTCACTTTGAACTTCATTTCCTTCTAATACATTGCTAATCCACTTAGAATGCATTAGAAGACTAGCGCCTTCATCATTTCCTCTAGAGAGCTGTAAGGACACAGGGCACCCAGCTCACAGTAATAGCATATGAGAGTGCGAGTCAGAGGCTAAACGGATGCTATCCTATAGGTCTACTACGAAGGATACAAAAAAGATGAAGGGGGAACCCCGTGAGTCGATTGTCTCAAGTACCCGAAACCCATCCGACTCGGTTCCGACTCGGTTAGCCCACCCAAATGATCACACGTGACCCCGCAGCTACCCAGAGTCTACTCCCTAGAATGGGAAGGCATCCTTACACGGCTACAACCTCACGTGATGGATAACATTGGATATCATGGATATTATGTTATCCATGTTATCCACAGCGATCCACGGAATGTCATGTGATGGATAACATTGGATATCTTGGATATTATGTTATCCATGTTATCCACGGGGATCCACAGAATATCAGGTGATGGATAACATTGGATATCTTGGATATTATGTTATCCATGTTATCCACGGATATCCTTTTGGCACGACGCCACTATATAAGTAGATAGTATTTCCTTAGATAGGAGCTTCGTGCTCAACTCAATATAGTATTCTTTACAATACTGTAACGTGTTACTTGGAAAGCCTTTGTGTCTAATCCCCTGCCTCCTCTGTCAAGTCAACCTTATGCAAGAAACCTCTGTGTCTTCCATCGTTTAGAAGTCAGCATTACAGCTGCCCGCCACTCTTCAGGCCAGTTGTTGTCAATATATTCCCATTTCCATTGTGGAGACAGTACTAAAGCAGCAATATAGACTGGTGATCTCTCTGTTAAGCTGTAGTATTTGTCTAATTTGACCCAGCCAGAGTTGCAACAAGGACTCATAAAGGGGTCATTGGCATATATACTCTTCGCAGTCTCAAACTGCTCAAGTAAGAAGTCCATTGTTGGCAACACTCTGTCAATAGTTGCATTATGACCTTCTGTAGCTAGTGTAGCATCGTGAAAGAATAGCAAGAAGTCTTGAAGCTTTTGTAGATCTTGCCAGTCCTTTTCTAACAATAAGTCGTCATTGTTCTCTTGATATTGGTGACAGAAAAGTTGATAGCAGTCTTAAGCTTCGTTGCAGTACTGATCATTGTATACCAAGAGTTCCAGTGAGTAGAGTTGTCTCGTACAAGGTTGCAGCCATCACTAAGCTCTCGGAAATTGACTAATCGTTGCGTGCTCCGTTGAATATAAACTACAATATTATGTAGCTTTCCAAGAGGTCCCTTCTGTCGCCATTGTTGCATTTCAAGCTCTGTAGGTGTTGTTAACATACCAGTGTTATTCTCTTCTGCAAGAGCCTCATCGTTGGTGTGAAATAAGAAGGATTGAGCTGCCAGATTAATAATATGGCCGTTGCATCGAAGGCGGTGATGTCTTGCATTATAGACAATTTGGTATTGGTCAAATAGTACTATTTGTAGAGTAGTCAGTAAGTATTGCAAACTATAATAAACCATAACGTGGTTTACCACCAAACGGAACATCCCACCAAATGAAACACTTTCCGATAGCATCGCAACCTCAAACCCAATTACTCCACCACACCACAACAAAAAGATGCCTCAGAAAGCTAATAAAGGCCGAGTTTTACTAGCCATTCAAGCTACCAAATCACCCCACAAACTGTCCATCCGACGTGCTGCGCAGCTATATGAGGTCCCACATGTAACACTTACCCGTCGCATACACGGAAGCCAACCACGAGCTGGTAGACGCGACAAACAATGTCCATTGACCCCAATTGAGGAAGAGGAGCTCATACGATACGTACTTGACCTAGATTCGCGAGGATTTCCACCTCGAATTGAGGATGTATGAGATATAGCGAATCTCCTCCGTGCGACGCGTCGCGAACCCCCAGTTGGAAAAAACTGGCCCTACCGCTTTGTACACAATGAACCAAAGCTTAAGACGCGTCTCTCTCGTGCGTACGACCTCCAGCGAGCCCTCTGCGAAGATCCTGATTGTATAAGAAAGTGGTTTGAGCTGGTAAAGAACATGCAGGCGAAGTACAGCATCCAGGATGCTGACTTCTACAACTTTGATGAGACGGGCTTTATGATGGGTGTTATCTGTGGGAATATGGTTGTTACGAGCTCAGATCGAAAAGGCCGAGCAAAGCAGCTTCAGTCTGGTAATCGGGAATGGGCAACAGCGATTGAATGTGTGAGTGCAGACGGCTTTGTAGTGCCTGCATACTTGATTGTACAAGGCAAGCATCACCTTGCGCCTTGGTACACAGAGTGCGGCCTTCCACCTACTTGGGCCATCAAGACCTCACCAAATGGCTGGACCGACAATGATACAGGTCTAGACTGGATAAAACACTTTAATCAGCATACACGTGTACGAACACAAGGGGTCTGGCGGATGATTGTCCTAGATGGCCATGAGAGCCACCTATCTGCCCAGTTTGATATGTACTGCAAGGAGAACAACATTATTACGCTCTGTCTCCCTGCGCACTCCTCACATCTTACCCAGCCTCTTGATGTTGGGTGTTTTATTGTACTAAAGCGAATGTATGGTCGAGAACTTGAGGTCTTCATTAAGGCCTCTATTACCCATATCACTAAGATTGAGTTCTTTATTGCATTCAAGGCTGCCCACGACCATACAATGACAACTGAAAATATCCTAGCTGGCTTTCGAGGTACTGGCCTAGTCCCGTATAACCCAGAAGCAGTTCTCTCAAAGCTTGATATCAAGTTACGGACGCCAACACCAACTGGATCCCCCCTACTAGAGGCTGACCCTTGGGTCCCTCAAACGCCACAAACCCCAGCTGATGCAATTTTGCAGTCTAAGTTTGTACAGAATAGAATTGGAATTCATCAAGGAAGCTCCCCAACAACGATTTTTTCAGCTGTAAAGCAGCTGGTGAAGGGTACAGACCGCATTGCGCACCAAATGACCCTTATACAAGAGGAGGTCCGTACCCTTCGAAAGGCCAACACAGCACTTTTCAAAGCGTCGGAAAGCCAAGCGTACACGTGTCCAAGATGGAGGGTCACTTACTATAGAAGATGCTCAAAAACTGATCGCTGAAAAAGAGGATAAAGGGTTGAAACGACAGAAAAGGTCAAATGAGGAGGGTGCTGTAGAGGCTGGTCCATCGACTTCGCGGCGCTGTGGGAGGTGCGGCAAGACTGGGCATAATGTACGAACCTGTCAAGAGGTTGAAGAGATATTAGGAGAAGAGAATTCAATTGAGTGTAGTTAATTTTAATGTGTTAGGGTGGAGTAATTGGGTTTGAGGTTGCGATGCTATCGGAAAGTGTTTCATTTGGTGGGATGTTCCGTTTGGTGGTAAACCACGTTATACATATATATAGAAAGACATACATGTAGAAAGAGCGTCCATCATTGTATCATTGTTTCCTGCATTGTCCATAACAAAGTATCCAATTTTCGATACAATTCCATAGTCGTTGATTACTTTCATAATAAGCTCTACCTGATTCCAACCTAAACATGTTAGCTGATTACTATAAATATTACTATAATGTTATTAACCTGTATGCTCACCATCTAGTTCTTGTAATGCAAGAACAGAGTGTTCTAATTGGCCAGTTTCAGATATATAGTGTGCGATTATACCAAGAATTGCAAGAGAGTTGGGAGAAGTCCAGAGGTCAACTGTAAAGTGGGCTTTTGACAGGGCTGATTGTACATCGCGTTTGATCTGTTGCTTTTGAGCCTTGTATGTACGCAACGTCCAGGTCTGTATTGTTGGAATAGAGTTAGGTAGCCAGTTATCGATCTCTGGATTAAGGTAATGGAGTAATGCCCTAAATTCCAATATTGTTGCCATACGGAAAGGGACTCCACAAGTTGTAATCCATCGTACATGTAGCTGCTCAACAACAGCAGGGTAGGCTTCAGTTGCAACAGTAGAAAGACAGCGGCGTTTATGATTTATCTCTTTAGCTTTGTCGAAAGCTTCAGCGATATTGCTTTGAATTGAAGTAGTTCGAGATTCCTGAGTAGAGGATATATCGATCTTTTAAGTGCCTTGTAATAATCTTTGTTCCGCCAGACTCAAGATACTCTTTTAGACAGTATCTACAACGCCATATTAACCTGCCCTGGTAGTTCCGAATGATATCGCAGCAGCTAACAGGTGTATGGTCCCAGACTTTCGAAAATCGTCTGCTTGCAGTTGTTGTTACAGAAACAGAGGGAGAGGATAGCGTACGTTTAAGTACAGGCAAAGTCGGGGTTTCAAATCGTTCACTGACAAATAGCTCACTGTCGTGCCGTGACAGTATATCCGAAGGTTGTGAATTCATTGTAGTGATATATAGTATATAACAATCTATCAATTGAAGTTATTCGAACCCCTTGTTTCGGATTTTAAGCCTCAATACTAGCTTAGCTGTATACGGCCCGTAATACGGCCCGTATACGGCCAGTATTGAGAACTGAATACGCACTGGGCCCGTATTGGGATTTTGGAATACGCACTTACTCAGTATTACCGTATACGACCCGTATCACCAATACTATCTAATACAGTTCACAGCTTATACAAAACGGACAATTCAACAGCTACGTTCCACGACACTTGAATAAAACAAAAGTCTGAAAACTAGAAGATAAATGATGAGGTGGGTAATATTAGAAGTAAAGCTGAACTTGCCGTACTCTCCCCTCCCTCTATTCATCTGAAGCCGACTCGTACGATCTCTTGACAGCGGTATATATATATGCCAGGTCAAAATCGATGGCCATTACCCCCTTAACTTCCTCGTTCCAGACAAGATTTGTATCTCGCACGTCGCCGTTACAAATACCGGCAGAATTCAGCTTTCCAACCGTCCTATCAATCTCATTACCTATATCTATGCCATCTGGTATATAGGCTTCGAGGGTCGTGCCTGCCCATGACATCAGCATCATATGCTTAATATATGCCAGGGACTGAAGCGGGTAGGAGACGACAAGGTCGATATTACCAAGGTGAACAGGTATATAGATGCCCTGTAGATTCTTGCAATGGGAATAGATACAGGCTTCTCTCACGAGCGCGTCTGCATACACAGCCTGAACTCCCTTCGCAACCAAGGTGCTGGATGTGGAGTGCAGCCTGTTGCCCTTGGGTGGCGACCCTTCTCTGGTCCGCTTAGCAATCTTACGCGGTCTCGGGCCGCCTTCTTGCTCGTCGTCATCATTGGGTGGTGGAGGAGGAGGAGGGAGCGAGGGACCTCCAATACCTTGGCTCTGAGAATCGATAATATTCTTGGCAGATGGCCATCGTCGGAGGTCTCTAAGGGCTTTGACCCATTGCAGAGGTTGGGTTTCTGCTTCTAGTACGAGAGGCACTAACGTCGTTAATTGTGTAGCAGGTGTGGATCTTGTAATGTCGGCTGTAGGCTGTTGCCCTTCAATGTCCATGGAACTTGGTACAAAATGGAAATACAAAACCCCGGGCGTGCCCTGGATAGCCAAGAAAACCATACAATCTCCTGATGCAACATATCCATATAATAAACCACCTGCAATCATGTAGTGGTACGCCTGACATAAGACTATTGCTACGATCATCTGGTCCTGGGCGAGAGAAGGCGAAGGTACAGACTCCTGGGCGATAGAAGGTGAAGGCTCCGGGGATTGGCGTGTGCGTTTCGCTTCTAAACGACTGACGCGTCTGCAAATAACGAGTCTGTAGGACAAGTATCGTCATCGAGTACATTCTTGAACCGCCACGCCTGAGCCTTGTGAGACGCCTTATATTCTCCAACTAATGCAATTGTGCGAGCATGGTCTTCGGTGACATGGATCCCCCACCGGTCCGGGGCTAAACTGGACATCCTGTCTGGCGACTGTCTCTTTGTCAGTGGCGGCTGGTCCTCATTGCGGGTTCTCAGTGGCGTATTGTTAAGGACTGTGTCACGGCTGAGGCCATAGGCGTTGTTGCTAAACTCGAAGGTAGCGAACCGGGGGTCCGGGTGTTTCTCTAGGTAGGCATCCACAATGTTGCTGGCAGGCACCTCGACGTGTGCGCGTATGAATGGCCGTATATCCTGCTCATCCTTTCTCGTCGTTGGTGAGAGATTGCGCCTCGTAGATCGGACTTCGAAAAGGGATGGGAATATTTCCGAATCCCCAACCGCGTGCACGAGGAGATCGAATCGGGCAGCGTGAAACGTAGGAAATTCCGTCCATCGGTGGAGGGCGTCAGGGTAGACTTTATTATCGACGTTCGTAGTACCCGTGGCCACCTTGGTACGGTTGTCCTCCACTATCAGCGTTGAGAAGATCATGGTCTGTACGTGATGTAGGTACTGGGAGAGATTCGTGCCCCGGGTCTCGGCTTCTGCAAGTGCTCGTTCCTCTGCTTCTCGATCTGCTCGTTTCGCTTCTCGGTCAGCTCGTTTGGCTTCTCGTGCTCATTCCTCTGCTTCTCGGTCCGCTCGTTTGGCTTCTCGTGCTCGTTACTCTGCTTCTCGGTCCGCTCGTTCGGCTTCTCGTGCTCGCCCCGCCCTTTGCTCCTTTAGCTCCCTCTCGAGCCTTTCCAGTCTTTTCTGGAAGTCCGCATCCATGGTGAAAATGCAGAATTGAATGTAAGGAAGTGTAGCAAAAACAGAGATGGCCTATCGGTGTGTGGAGGATGTTGCGTTGGTGCAATATGTAGGGGGGTGAGGGAGAGTTGCAGATAACCATCCTCTGTGGTAGCATTTGCTGAGCGCGATTAACTGGGCATTATTGTTTTTGCAGGTGCGAGAAATGCGGTGGAGGCGGTCGTCAGCAATAGAGAATAGGATGCTAGGAAACGGGAGGTTAGGGGGACTTTTCATAGGAAATCAAGACACTTGCTGCTACTAACTAATTGTGCAAATGCAAATGTGACTTTGTAGCGGAGAAGTTGAGAATATCCCTTTCCAATTCATAGCAATATAGAGGGATGATCATTAAAATTAGTGGTGTTATATTGCTTGATTTCAATCTATGAAGGTGTTCCGATATCCTGCCTGCTGCACCTGCCTGCTGCAACTGCCTGCCTTAGGCACTAACTACATAGCTTAATGACCGAATACTCACGTGAATCCTGAGTACGATGTCAAGGCACGTGATATTACTTGACTTCTTACCAGGACCCATCAGACAGGCTCATGGCTAGTCTGTGGTTCTGAGCTTCATCACAAGGGCTTTTCCGGAGCCTTCCTTCTTTGCATTCCACCTAGAAAGCAACTGGAGATAGTGAAGTGACGCTACAATTGAATAGTGATAAGGAAGGGACATCATTATGGGTACGGATGGCACCATCGAGAGTTTGGAGGGCACAACAGCAGGCTTGAATCTCGCTGTTCGTCTAACAGCGGTATGAGCTCTGGTCTTTAGAGGTGTTTTGAGCGGTGAAGCACAGCTTTATTTGGTTAAGCAACAAAAGCTTCTATTTCAAGGTGCTTTTAGAACTCCAAAATAGTTACATTGTTCTCCGTTGTTTCAAGCAATCCTACGAGCACAGTTATTCCAATCAATTGTTGCAATATTACCTGAGCGTCGGTGATGTCCAACAAAGTTGGGTGGGTATTAGGTGGGTATTAAGTAGGTATCCCAGCCGAGCAGAATTATCATTTAGCACGCATCAAGTGAAGCAGCCGCATTAAGGGCTTCGGTATAGAGTACAGTATATATAACAGTAACAATTAAATCTATCAACTAATATATACTATCTATTTGCAAGACCCCGTGAGGCCCAGCTTCACTGGTGAAGGTGAAGCCGGAATGTGGCTTCGGCGGCTGTCTCTAAGCATCTAGGAGAAATACTTGTGAGTGAACTTCATGCAGATGGCGAACAAGAGAGCTTTTGTTCGTACAAGGCTTTCTGCTGCGAATACAATGTTGATACGGGCAGAGGTATTCCGATGTGCTATGAATTCGGTCGCAATGGCGCTGAAGATCTCTTTTGAATGGAAAGGGAATCATGTAGCGCGGACAACTGCGATGAGGACAGAAATGCTCTGTGCTAGTGTTGCCTTGATCACTGCGTGTAAAGGTCATTTCAGTCATCTGTTGTGATGTATACTCCATTTGCCGGTGATGTTGAGAGTGGTGGGTAAGAGTGGCCTTGGTGGAAAAGGGCTCCTCATGGTGCGCACAATCAATATAGGGACACGGATATAGCATCTTCGTTCTGACAGGCCCACATTTGACTTTAGACAGGCCCCGAAGGTTGTGTAATAATATAAGCCTCCCCTCTTGTGATTGATCTGATGCCTCAAACAGAATCTTAGTCACAGCAGTGCGCCATGGCGGTAGTGTATGGTCGTTCAATTCTTTGGATATCTCCTGGGCTACATTATCTTGTTGTTTCATTCTAAGATAACGTAATCCATCAATTTTGATCCAATTCTCTCTGAGCTTCTTTGTCTCAGCTCTTCTAAGACGTGCTAATTCCACATCCATCTTTGTTTTCGCAGCTTTGACAAGGGCTGAGCTTGCCGCGCTCTGCTTAAGGTCCTGCCATTCCTGGCGACGCTCAATGTATTTGGGGTGTTCCCTGAGCTTCTGATGCAGGTCTTTTATGGAAAAGGTTTTGTAAGTCAACACCGACATGTTTGTTCACGTAGCGTGCTTGTAACACCTTAGGATTCTTATGGCCCATCAAGATGCCTGTTTCTGCCCATGTAGCAGACTCTGCGACAAGGTTAGCATAAGCTCTAGCCTTGCTGTCAAAATTACTTACTTTCTAGAATATTTGCAGCTCCGCACCTAATAGCGTATGAAGTTACTTGGCATCTATATCCAGCACGGTATGCGAGGTCTGTCAAGGCGCGGTGAGAAGCGGCGTATGTCCATGCAGCTGTCCTGTCTGCTGCTCGAAAAAGAGGCGTATCTAAGGCTGCATCTTTGAGAGGGACTTCAACTATGCTACGATCTAACGTAACACAAAAGAGCTCTTCTGGCTTAATATCAAATGCGTCGTGTTCGTATGCCAAGGTAAGGAAAGGCATAATTGGGCATAAGTGTGGATAGACCCGGTCCTCCCAGAGCGTTACTGTAACACTAAGCTATGTCAGCTCCGTTAAGATAGCCTATGGTCTATAGATGCCTACAAAAATTCATCCTCCTCATCTCTGTCCCCCTTCATAAGTCTGAAGGTAATTGTGAGGCTCATCTGAGGTGGACCGCCTTCGACATCCTGAGTGAGGTGGAATTTCAAATCCTCAAATGAGTTAGCAAACGCATGAAGTAAAGGTTAGATATATACTAACTCTATAAGTTATAGCCTCATTGCTGTTTCGATATGAATCTGATACGACGACCGCACCTGACCGGGCTACTGTGTATGCAAGGCATAGAAGAAAGAAGTGCAGCTTAACGCGGTCGAGTTGGTTTCGGAAACTGTGCTTGTCCTCTACCCACAAGTAACGAATAAGCACTTTGAGGTCTTGCGAATCTGCCATTGGCTTCGCGGGCCTTGCTACTAAGCCCTAGCAAATCTTTCAAGTCTGTTTGAATCCACTATCATTGTATCAGCTTCTTTATTACTATGCAAGGAAAAGCATCATTTTACATCTTTACTTCCTTCACTACCCTCTGTGGAATCTCAATATCATGTTCATGCTTGTACGCTGTTGCAAGGCGTGTAACGTATGGGCATAGTGTGTTGAGGGAGAGACGCGGGCCTAGCATCCCTTCATGCTCGATTTCTAACATCTTGAAGAAGCTCTTCATGCAACCCGCGCTTGGGACCAGCGCTGGCTGGTCAATACGCAATGCAAACCTTTTACTCTTCGTTAGCGACTCTTCGCACTTAACTGTAAGGAACGGAATCGTACTCTTGCCATAGCGAGAGGATGGACTTGTATCCTCTCTTTGTTGGAGGGGCAACTTTTGGTGGACGTTTCTTTCTCTTCAAAGATCGGGGGACCTGAGAGACAAGCAAAGAAGTGACGCGTAACAAAGCAAAATAACCAAGAAAATGCTCAAGAACAAAGGGAATACGAGAGGTAAGATGCGAAGGAAAATGACAGGAAAGAAAGGGAAGACGGGAGAATGAAGGGAAGAGAAAGAGCAGGTGTGTGGACACCAAATTGGGGATGGGCCATGCGCCGACATGATGTCCACGGCGTTGTGCACATGGAAAGTTGAATCCTAGAATCGGAAACCCACTGGGGACGCCCAACAGTCCAGGATCTAGAAACCAGAAACGGAATGTTGTGTTGGATGCTGCAGAGATAGGAATGCGTAGTCGCGAAAACCGAAAGTTGTGGTGCTCAAAGCAGCCGGGCCCGCTAACATAGAACGGAATACGGCAATTGGATAACAAGAATCCGGCATCAGTGGTTTAGTGGTATTAATCCATCGATGCCAGCTCGTCTGGAAGGCCCCCGAATGCCGGTTTTACCATTTCCTGATTCCCCTTTCATGAATCCTGCAAAAGCAGCGACATTTTAGCGCCTAGAAAAGAGTTGGATGTCGACATGGGGACGCTTGATTCGAGCCTAATAATTGGTTCGGAGCATCCAGGTCCCTGTCCCTAGGAAACTCAAGACCCGGAAAATAGTTTCTGGTTGCCCGGAAACCAACAACTGGAATCTAGATGTCGTTTCTCAGGCACGAAGATTGTGAATAGTCTAAATGACCGTTAGACCATCAAAGACTTTGAACGGGAAACCTTTAACGGGTTACAAGAACTGGTGCTGCTTTTCGTCAGTTTTTCCGGAGCTAGTAACCGAAATGTTGGTGCCTGGCTTCGGGGTCCGGTTTTATCATTGTCCGATTCCTGAGCCCAGTCTCTCGCTGGCACAAAAGACTGTTTTTAGAATTGTGCACAACACGGCTTCTTGCTTTCCGTCCTCTGTGGGTCGTCATCAGCCCGTCCAACACGGTTTCCTGCCTCCCGTCCTCTGTTGGTGGCCACAACCCTGCGCTCGGAAATGATGAATTCTTGAGCGCTTAGGAGCACAAACGATTGGCCAGCTGAGGCTGACCTCTGCACTTCTCCACTTGTGGCGGCCTAAAAGCCCATAAAAAACGCGAAACGGTTGGTCGATACTCAAATCTGCCTGGGGCCTGTCGAAAGGCCGCATCGTTTATCTGGGATTACGACAACAGCTTCATGGAAACGGGCGATGGTTGGCTGGTTACAGAAATCTGCCTGGGGCCTCTCGAATGGCTGCATCCTGTGTCCTCGATCACGACAGCGCTTCCTGGAAACGCGAATCTGTTGGTCGATTTCCCAAACTGCCTGGGGCCTCTCGAGTGGTTGCATCCTGTATCTCCGATCATGGTTGGCTGGCTTCGGTGCTTTTACCTCCACTATTCTTGTCACTGCGAACTATGTATGGTGAAATTGTTCGAGAGACTTCATGGGAGGCTTGGGTAGCTGAGTTTATAGCAGCAGAGTTCTTACACGACAAATATCAAATTAAGCTTTAAAGATGAAACGAAGGATACAACGTGAAGCTGCTTCTAGACAACGAGAAATAGTATGCCAGAGCGTCTCAGAACGTCAGCAGGGCCACGCTTATGCTGTGTTGGATCGGATAGGATGCTATTATGTACTGGGGATACGTCGTGAAAGGAAGAATCCTGAAGGGAAGCAGAAGGAGAAGCAGCTAAACGACGATCTGATCGAATTTGTTCAGGCGACAGTCCGTCTTGTTATGCAAGAACATCAGTGGCCCGAAGCCTACGTTCCGGCATCTGCAGGTGTCCACTGTTTCGGACAAAAACTTGAAAACATCTTACGTGATGCCATTTCGAAGGACCAGTGGCATGATACTATCAGAATGGTACTTAGATTCAAGAACGTACCAGAGTATACAAATGCTGCGAAGGAATCACTGGACAGACTTCGAAGTCAGTGGTATGGGGTGGAAGAAGGAAGATGGACCTAAGGAAACGAACTTTTTTAACGCTCAATGTTATATAGCGCACAGAAATTATAAGAAATTGTCATCTTTGCAGGTAATTTCGGACCTTGAGATAATTTTCGTCCTGCCCAAACACATCGCTGCCATAGTGTCATCATAACTTGCACAGTCAGAATTAGACCTAAACTATATACCATTATGAAATGACATTTCCATTTTTGGAATAGTTTGCCTTGTGTAAGTCATCAGCAACGCATTCTTTCCCCATGTGTCGTAGCCAAGTCTTCAAATCAAATTCCCCTTCACTGAGATCTATATCTGGACCAACATATCTAAAAGTTGTCCCAAACACCTTAGCCGGCTCATCCCTACCAACAAGATTTATCTCGCATGGGACAGTCATGTAAGCCTTCGTCTCATACTCTGCTAATCTGGCAGCATGTTTCTCAGTTTGTACGTCGTACATAGCACCCTCAACAACGCCCCCCTCAGGCCCATTAACCAGCGCTGGGTATTGACCCCAAAGTTTGCACGAGTATCCTATAACTGTCGCGCGTTGGAGTGTTGGCGTCTCTTCAAGACCGACAATCTCCATCAGCAAGGCAGGATCCATGAGTGTGCCGTAAAAAAAGTGCGGACCAGTTTTGGGAGCAAGTGGATCTATAGGCACTCCTGAAATTGGAGCGTCGTTAAAGGCCCCTTGAGCGTACTTAAATTTCTCCCAGAACCCGGACACCTTTTCTGCAACTTTGAAATGGGACTTGGGCAGTTGAACTCCATAGTTAGACTGGGGAGGCAAAGGTGGTGGTGTGGGGGGCCTGGCGCTTTCATCCGTCAAGGTAGGAGACATAGATAGGTAACGTCGGATTTGCGAAGTAAAATGTAAACTATAACTGTACAAAGTACGGCATGAAGCTGTGTTCTTGAGTGTAGTGTTATGTGTGGAGGAGGGAGATGATGGTGACGGTTCATTTATGCCCAAGATAAACAAAGACAACTGTAGCCGAATATCCGCTAACTTTACCCTGTCAATGTGGCTGCAGGACCTAAGCGCGGAGATTTAGCGCCGTTACCTGTGATTGGTCGAACGATGTATCATGAGAATCCAACATCTTCGAATTCGAGCCACTTTGGAAGGCCAGCAGACAACAGAGTAAATATCGATAGCCATTGATAGACTTCGTAAAAATAGATTTTGATATTTATAGGCACTTAAGCGCCGCGTTATATATATGTGGCCGAGTGCAAAGTATTTTTGGACAATACCCTGCTCCTACCGTTTCAAAGTTATAACCAACGAAGGGAATTAAAATAAAAGATGCTTATAAAAGTTGATTCCCACCTGTGAGTAGCATATACTTTAAAGCACGTAAAACTCGTTGGACTAAATCACTTTGGAACATTTTAGTTTTTGGTTATAATGGGATTATTCTCAAATAGACTGGCCGGCCCGGACCGTAAAGACTGGACTGGACTGGACCGGACCGCTTATATGAGTGTTCCAGTCCTTAAATTTAAGACCGGACCGTGGTTCGGTCCTCCTTTTTTTAAAAAGCCCGGACTGAATTTCAGTCTAGTCTCTAGGGTTAAGACCGGACTGTGGTTCGGTCCTCCTTTTTTTCAAAGCCCAGACTGAACTTCGGTCCAGTCTCTAGGGTTAAGACCGGACCGTGGTTCGGTCCTCCTTTTTTTCAAAGCCCGGACTGAACTTCGGTCCAGTCTCTAGGGTTAAGACCAGACCGTGGTTCGGTCTAGGCTTTTTTACCATCCGAGCTTTTTTTTAAAAAGCCCGAACTGAAGTTTAGTATATTTAGCTTGTAGATCACGATGTTAGTCCTGTGACCAAGAGTAACGGTATATAGTAACGGTATATTGATAGAAATTAGGATAAATTTATCATATAGATAATAAATTATGGTAATTACATTAGAGTTATAAGTGCCGTATGTCTCAGAATGCATCAGCTTACAGTGGCTTCCCTACCATCACCACCACCGCCATCGCACACAGGTTTGTGTCGACTTTGGGAGGCCAGCCTTCCTACCACCTAGCGCAAAGGTTGGTATCTATCGCAGTAGTTAACATAATATATTGTTCAAGCTGGTTCCAAATGCTATATAAGGCTAATTAGTGATATATTCCGTTACTGTGAGCCGTTACTCTAACCCACAGCTGAATAGTACCCTCCTCTACCTTCTAAGTCGTTGCGAATGTCGAGGAGTATCAATGGAGGCTTCATCATTCTGAAGGTCCTTATTTAGAACCCCAAAATTTCGCTTCCTCTGAGTTTCCAATCTTCCATTGCGACCTTGTGTAGCTCTATGTGGCGTTGATGGGTCTGGTAGGTCTTGTTCAGCATCCTCCTCGTCAGATGATATTACCATCGTCATAGCAACTTGTCGATCAGAGTCCTCAATTATAGAGTCTGGGTCAGGAGCGCCAAATACATGGTCTATATTATCCCAATGATTATCAAGTTCCCACTTATACCTATGATAGTGTTTAACAATCATCGACTCTCGAACTGTAGCCGTACTCATTTGTGCCCTGTGGTATTCATGGATATCGCGGGCAATATTAAATATGCGCTCAACTCCAGTACCAGTAGCTGTTTAAAGCGATTTGTAAGATATCTGCGTTACTCTTAACCGTTACTGTAGGAGCTTACCTGGTACTGCAAGGATATCCCTTGCCATCTTCGCAACTGAAGGGTAAGAGAGCTCTAAGGTCTTCCACACTAGGAGCACTGGAGTATCTGCATCAGCACTAACCACTGGCGCATTTAAATAACGCTCAGCTTCATTATAGCTGGTACTTGATGGGCTCTGCCACCCTTTATGTAGCTGCCGGTTCATCCGAAATACCGCATTAAGACTTGTTGGTGTATAGGGGCAAGGCGGTACTGCCTCATGCTGGTCCCTCGAATCTTTTTGATAGTAAGCCTTCCAGTAATCTAAGAATATTTGGCGGTACTTCTTTGAGTGGGAACGGTCCCATTCAGGAGCGTTAAAAATGTCCAGTTTCTGAGATGGATCAAGAATTGCAGCAAGAGCATACGTCTGTTCAACAGGACCACCAGTTTCAGTATAATAGTGCCTTAACTTTGCAACACCTGCAGTAATAGCAGCAGTAAACTCGTCTACCCAAGGATTAGATGCTGTATCCTTGTTATATAGCTTTTGATTAATATCATCAAGATGGTCAAATAATGTATTGTATACATTCCATGTATGGTTGATTGTAGTGTCTTTCGTGTTTCCAATAAGATGAGTAAATTCTGCAAAGGGCCGCAGAAGAGCGACTAAGTATTTCAGTTTTTTCCAGTCGGTTGGTGATAATGCGAATTGATCAAGATGAGGCTCCTTAATAATCTGTTCCTCAAGCCAACTTTTAATTGGGATGCGTAGTCTTATCGCTCGGACTATCATGTCATATGTAGAATTCCAGCGTATATCAATATCCCGTTTTAGCCGCAGTAGTCTCTTTGCTTCTATATCAGATTGCTTCTGGAGCAATAATTCAGTTTTCTTTGCAGACCTGCTCACAAGATTGCTAAGAGTGCGTATCTGTGTATTTGACGTCAGTTAGCGTTACTATCAAGCGTTACTATCATGGACTAACCTTTCTAATAGCTGATGTGACTGTCGTATCATCAGTAATTGAAACACCAGTAAAATCTATAACTTCTTCAGCCATGTCGACATTGAAGGCCTTTAGCATAGCTTTTACAACTAGCTGTATAACATGCGCCATGCATGGTATTTTTGTTGCATCACTACTCCACTCTACTTCTTGTGTAGTATTTCTCATGTAGCTCTCAAGTTCCTTGCGCATTGTTCCATTGTTTGATGCATTATCAGTTGTCACGCAAAAAAGTCGTCCCGTAATATTGAATTGTTCCAGTACATTGTGTACAACAGCTGCCATATTTTGTCCTGAATGGACTCCAGTCATTGGCTCGAAACCAATAAGACACTATAAGATGTATGTTAGTAAGTTAATATATTATTATATAAGTTATAATCTGCTCACCTCTCTCCATTGCCAATCATCAGTGATATAATACACAGTAATTGCTAAGAACGCTAATTTGAACGGACTTTGCCATCCATCAAGGGCAATTGAAACCTTTGCCATAGGCGGTAAATCCAATAGTAGCTTCTCCATGACGTTGTTAAATTGCATTGTTAATTCTTTGCGTATAACTGTCCGGTGTGGAATTTCCAGGTCAGGTTTCAACATGTTTAGAACCTTTCGCACCTCCTTGTTCTCCACTATTCGAAAAGGGAGGCTTGATGAAATTATGGCTATAATCAACTGCTCTCGCCATGCTGTATGTGTGAAAGGCTGTATGGTATTCCTTTCCAAATGCGCACGCGGCAGCTAAAGAAGGTCATTAGCGTTACTCTAGAACGTTACTCTAGACCACTGGATAGATAACTTACTAAGTGTAAATGAGTTTGCGATCCATCCTTTCTACTACAAGCGCCAGATTTGGTGTGTCGGGTTAAAGTAGATGTGCTACTCCCACCTTGTCGAAGCTTAGGGTGTGCAAAAGCCCTCCAACACAACTGACATAGTACCTTAGGATTGCCAGTTCGGACCTCAGCTCCTTGGTAGAATTGAGTCCATATTAAGGACCTATTCGACCTTGTCCAAACCATATGTCGGAATATCTCTCGATTGATGTTGTTTGAAATCTTCGCAGTCCACCATTGATGCCATTCGTTAGCGGTATCCTCCTTCCATATAACATATCGATTATTAGGAGACTTGGGTAGTTTTTCAAGAAGTTCATCAAGAGGAGCTTCAATTCCACTCAGTACATCATCTTGGGAGAAGATAAGTGCTGGCTCGAAAGGTGAGTTGATATCCTCAGTGTCAGAGGTAAGCGGATGCTCAAATTGTGACTGATTCATCATTGTAAATGGGCTTGGGCTCGACATGTTGTTAAGAGGATAGAGAAAATGTACTGTAGTAGGAGTGTAGGTCAATCAGACGAATGATGAATGTTAAGTGAGGCCTTTTGGAAGGACGGCCATTTCTTCATAGTCTTTTGCAACAGAACAAATGGTAGTACAGAATACAAGAATGCCACATTGCAATAGGGTAATATTTGAACTCTTTGTCGTTACTCTTTGCCGTTACTCTTTGCCGTTACGCATTGCCATTACGCATTGCCGTTACTCATTGCCGTTACTCTTTGCTATTCCTATTTTGTGTTAGTTGAACATAGTATTATGGAGTTAAACAATTTTGTCTAGCTCTAATTAGGTTTACCATAACGCTAGAGAGTAACGCTTACGAGTTTTAAATTACAAAATCAGCAATTTGGTTTCATTGGCTTAACAATTTGCTACATTAGCCCTATCTTATTTCAAAGTCCGAAGCTATATCTAGTACTATTAGCTGTTGCTACAGCATATAACAAGATAATGAGCAGTGTGTATAACCCTAAGTAGATACAGATCGATTATATTTCCTATGTAGCATAATATAAAGTTAAACTGTATAACCGACATTTGATTGTTAATTGGCCGGGCTGTATTCCTTGGCTCAGCCGAGGAGTAGAAGCATGCTGGCTTTTTGCTTTTGGGCTCTCTTCCGTTACTGCTGGCCGTTACTGTAGCCTACGTGTAACCGAGATGATGAGTAGTAGCCCTTATTTTTATTGGATGCAGAGTCTGTATATCCTAGCTAGTGTAATATGAATTGGAATTGCAAAATAGGCGTTTGACTGTTAATTGGTCGGACTGTGTTCCTTGGCTCAGCCGAGGAGTAGAAGCATGCTGACTTTTTGCTTTTGGGCTCTCTTCTGTTACTGCTGGCCGTTACTATGAGTACAGTAGTCACTATTCGGAGTACTGACAAATAGTTTTATTAGATAGTAACGGCAGATAGTAACGGCAGAAGATCTCAAAATGGAATTCAGTAACCACAAA